TAAACCCACTTTATCCGGTTCCAACCTACCCACTTTGATGTTTCCGAGTTTTCCGGTTCTAGACCCACTTTACCCAAAACCGTATTCGGAACCGAACCGATATCGGTTCCTATATACCGGTCCAGTTTCCAATTCTATAAAATCCCGTTAACCGGTTCTGGGTTTTCCAGGTCCGAGTCCATCTGGTCCGGGTTTGGACCCACTTTCATCCCTAGCAGGAAGTGATGCAGGCCCGACCCAATGGAGTGGGCAAGCTGGGCGACCACCCCGGGCCTCACCATAGTTTGGGGCCACAAAATAATTTTTGTGACATATTTTTAATGTATATATATACAACCTCTATAAAAATATCATTAAATGTGCCTTTGGCTGAGTTGGTTAAGTGGTGTTTCATTCTACCGTGCAATCTGAGTTCGATTCCCATTATAATCATTTTTAAATTATCATATAAAAGTCTAGGGATTTTCTTTTAAAGATGAGTCAGGCCCATGTCAGACTCTTAACAATGTCAATAGATCTCCCATTAAATTATAAGATATCAAATTTTCTTTTCTTTATATATATATATATATATATATATATATATATATATATATATATATATATATATATATATATATATATATATATATATATATATATATAATACTAAGTTTCTATTTAACATTTTGTTATATCAACTCTTCCTTTCAAACAATAAATCTACCTATTTGGTTTCAAAATATCAAGTATGTTTTTTATTTGCTTTTTTAAACAAATCTAATTTAAAAAAGATATACAATACCAATAAGTTTTAATTTAACATTTTTTAACTTTAAATCAAACAAAGTGATATATTAGTTTAATATACAACATAAACGCATCCTTATTATTGTAGTTGTCAATGAACACTACTATCTATTTTAATTTATAATATTCTTAATCAATTAAATTTATGTATGAAAGAACGTCGTTGGGATAATCAGGTTCGGTTATGATTTTGGGTTTCTATATAAATAAAGATCACGTTGAACCTAAATGAACAGTCACTCTGAACAAAAAACCAAACAAATTGTTTTTCAAAATGGTTTGGATGTTCAGTTTTTTTGTTTAGGTTTTTCATTGGTTATTTTGCACATCTTAACAATTATATTTTTTTTAATATTATATTTTTTAACTCACACCCTTTTAAACAAATAAATTTTTTTAGTAATATATATATATATATATATATATATATATATATATATATATATATATATATATATAATTCTAGTTTAATAATAGGTGCTCGTGTACTAGTCTCAACATACACCATTGTATTTTGATATGCAATTAGGGCCTCGTTTTTTACTTTTGCCCCGGACCTCAAATTAGCTTGGATTGGCCATGAAGTGATGGTAAGACTACGATTTAGCCCATAGCATTTACTTATGGTTGAAATAGATATGTTATGTTATGTATTGCATGTGGTATTTTGGGGGACGCACTAAGGTTTATGTTTACAATTTATGTTTAAATGTTTCAGGTACTTCTGGTTCCAAAGGTAAGGGTTCGGTCTAATCGTACTGCATACCCAGAGACTTATTCCGCACTATCTATTTGATACACTTTGATATTTTTGAAAATTATATATATATATATATATATATTATATATATATATATATATATATATATATATATATATTGGTTGGTTTTAATTAAATAGTTGTATTTCATACACTTTGATATTTTTGAAATTATATATATATATATATATATATATATATATATATATATATATGTAACACCGTAAATTTCAAGACAAATTTTTCATTTAAAATAATCATTTTACTCTTAGAAACACTTGTTTAAAATCTTATTCATAGTCGATTTACAAAACATAACTCCATTTTCACTTGCATAGAAAACCAGGATCCTCCAAAATATGACTCTTTCTCTGGTGTGTACAATCAAGCCGGTGCCGTCCCGTGATACTGAAAGAAACCTGAAAAACATCAAACAAAACACTGTAAGCACGAAGCTTAGTGAGTTCCCCAAAATACCACACATAACACATATTAGCCACTCGAGGCTATAACTCTGTGGGTCCGTGCACCCAAACTCTGTGAACCCTCAGGTTCTAACTCTGGGAACCTTCCGGTTCCAACTCTATAAACATGCACAGCATAAATCACATAGAAATAATGCAGTACAACACATCACGTACATATAGCATACAAATACTCTAATCACATAACTCTGGTTACCTACTCAAGGTAAAGTATAGTGAGAAGACTCACCTGGCAAGCAGGAAGCACATATCCCCACACTTGAATCTCGAACTCGCCACCGCCTAACACGTAAGGCAAATACTCTCATGAATATAACTCTCGAGACTAGAATAAATCCTCTCATAACACCCTCTTATGGTTAAAAGACTATTTTACCTCTCTCTTGGCCCAAAGGCCACATCGCTGACCAAACCCTAAAAGTCAACGGCCAACCCTTGGTCGAAATCAAAGTCCTCAGTCTAAGTCAACCCCTGACTGACCCTACTCGCTGAGTCAACCCTGTGACTCGTCGAGTTCCCATAATCAGAACTTCATTCAATCTGCGACCTAACTCGCCGAGTCACCCCGAGACTCGCCGAGTCCAACAACTTTGAGTCCACTCGCACTTGACTCACCGAGTCATCCCTCGACTCACCGATTCTCGGCTCAACCAGAGAATATTTGGGACTCTTCGACAAGACTCGTCGAGTCCAAGGCTATCTTCAACCTACTCGCCGAGTTGTTCTTCCAACTCGTCGAGTTCCAGGCCATCTTCAAGCAACTCGTCGAGTCGACCCATGTGACTCGCCGAGTACCACCGTTCTGAATCCATTCAGAAGCACTCCAGGCCATGCAATTAATCCAAAACATAGATCTAGCCTCCTACAACCCATCCATCACGTAAAGTGGCAAACTTTACATGAATCCAAAGAGATCTAAGCCGTTTGCACATTGGGGCTAGGGTTTGGGACATGTAAGCTTCACTAAACACTCCAACACAGGGACTTTCATGCTCTCTGATTCTTCTCCCTTCCAGATCTGAGGTAGCAACCTCAGATCTAACCTCTAGACTTCCCATTTCATCCATAGACAATTTCTCACAAACCCCAAAATGAAGAAACAACATAACAACAGGTCAATAACGAGATATTACCTCTAAGTGATGCCCCAACTGCAATGAAATTCGAATCCAAGCAAATCCCCTTGCTCCAAGCCTTCAATCTTCCCAAAATTCCTTCAACCATTACTTCTCCAAGCTCCAATCCACTCAACAATGGTGCTTCTCCGTGATTTAGGGTTTTCTGGGGCTCAAGGGGTGATAAAGAGGCTGGGAGGAAAACATAGTGATCTTTATATAAGGCTCAACCCCGAGAATTAGGGTTTTCTCCACTCAGCGCCTACTCGTCGAGTCCATTATACTGACTCGCCGAGTTGGCCACTTAACACGCGACCAGGTCGCGACTCTACTCGCCGAGTCCGCACATGGACTCGCTGAGTCACTCTTTCCCAATTTACTCTTTTAGCCCTTCAACTCTACTCTTGATATTTCGGGATGTTACAATATATATATATATATATATATATATATATATATATATATATATATATATATATATATATAGTCAAGATCAAATCAGAAGAAAATTTTTGGTAGGAAGGTAAGAAGTTTTTTTTCTACATATTTTTTTCGCGAACAAACAAAATGAATTATTAGATGATTCATTTGTAAGATGATTCACAAGAAAAAAATCTCAAAAAAAACATCTCGATGATTCATTTATACAATGATTTTGTTATTATTCACTAAAATTATCATAAAAATGAATTTTTTCTTAATTTACTTAAAAATGAATCATAAAGATGTTTTTTTGAGAATTTTTTTCTTATGAATCATCTTACAAATGAATCATCTAATGATTCATTTATTTTGTTCGTCAAAAAAATATGTAGAAAAAAACTTCTTACCTTCCTACCAAAAAAATTTCTTACCGGATATATATATATATATATATATATATATATATATATATATATATATATATATATATTGGTTGGTTTTAATTAAATAGTTGTATGGTTTGGTAATTTAAAATCAAAAAAAATTATTTAAGATTTTTGGGACGCTACACAACTCAACCTTTCAGATAAATAGGTTGTCACTGAGTTCATATATTTATGTATTTCTCAAATCAGCCTATTAAATAAGTGAGTTAAACTTGGTTTAACCTATTTCAAATTTTTTTTAAAAAGTAAATAAATTAACTAAAGATTACATCATTTAAATTAGTTACCAATTTAAATAAAAATTTAAAGTATGACATCACACGATCACAATTCACAAATAAAAACAAATGTTCAAATAACATTAAAATATATTTAATTTTAAAGTGATTTTGAGAAATGATTAGTGTTGTCAACACTAAGAAAAAAGATAGGATTTATGATTGCATTTTTTTAAAAATAAATAATAATACAACATTAAAATTTATAAATTAATTTTTAGATTAATATATCATAATATTTAAATAATTATTAAATTAAATATATATTAAAATTAAATGGGTTAATTAGTTAAAAATAAGTTTATAATTTTTATCTAAACCAAAATTAAATGTGTTAAACATGTTGACCCATATAACTTAAATGAATTGAAAATCTCTACCAGCATTAATTTTGGGTTGGGTTAATGGGTTATGTTGATTTTTGTCGGTTCGAATTGAGTTGGGTCAATATATTTTTACCCGTTAACTTGAATCCAACCGAATCGTCAGACTTACGCTAATTTTTTTTTCTTTTTTTTTTTAATGGTTTTGTGTGTGTTTGTAGCCCAAGTCACGTGAGTATACTATTGGGGTTATATGATATTTTTCATTTTCATTTACAAGGGTCAGTCCACCACACGTCCACACCTATATATTTCTATCAAAACATTTACATAACTCTTTTTGCATTTCATGGGGTCTGAATTCTTAAAGATCTTAAAGCATTCAAATCAATCATTTCTCATTCAATATATAAGATTCCTGAAAATTTCATCAAAAAATCTCAATCCTTTTGGTATCCTGGAATACTTAGACACAATACCAAAACTTGCAATAATAAATGAAATCCAACACAATAATTATTCAAAAAAACCACAATATATTCAATGACATGTGACTCCACGACGACACACGTTAATAAACAAAATGAATATAATAATGATCATGAATGAAATATTTTCTTGAAAACTCTTTTACCTAAATCTCAGTGTCAAAAAGACGAATTGTCACTTTTGAAACAACTGCTCGAGCAAAAGGTATGTAGCTTAAACTATACCTGAAAAATATTTTATACCACTTACATTATCAATTTTTTTTAATAAAAAAAAAAGGAGTAAAGAGATCGAATAAAGATGACAAACTTACCAGATGAGTGCACATATCTCACATAGTATGGCAAGGATAGTTAACAACTTACTATGAATCTGCGAATGAATAAAATAATGTCAAATCATAAAAAGTCAAAAATATCAATAAATGGATTCAAGTTATTTATTTTGTTACCCCAAGAGCACAAATGAGAGCTAGAACAACGAATCCAATGTAAATAGATGTTGCATAAATACGAACTGGATCAAACATCATTTGTAATTGTCGTGTAGCTCCCATGAGAAAAACTGTGCTGTTAAATGGTAAAAAGAAAAAAGATTAGACAAATTAAATAGATTAAAAGTGCAATTTTTTTTAATAATATAAAAGGAGAATTATATATATATATAAATAAAAGAAAACATACCTTCCAATAGCCAACAAGTTACCAAAGGTAAACAATACAGCAAACTTAATCGGTATGGCAAACACAATTGTCGACTGCAAAATTACCATTTAGATTTTAGATAGATGATGTTAAATTATGAATAATCATGGGCTTTTTATTCATGCCATCATCAATTTAAGTACTTAATGAAAATTTAGTAACATATATGTCAATCAAGATTCAAGCTTGATGCTTGGTGTTAACTTTCATCATGCCAAACACTTGAAGGATTATGATTTAGTATACTTAAGCATAACCCCAATCCCAATTTTACTTGAGATCAAGAACATCTTTCAAACGCAATCGATAATACGCATTTTCAAGAAAATTAGGGTTTCCATCATAGAAGCCAAACCCATACTTGATTTTTTTTGTTTTTTGTTGGTATCGAATGATCAAAGTAACTAAATAAAACTCAACAGTATCACATTAAAAATTCCTTTCGAAAAAAGCCATATAGTGGGAATGAGATCGTATACAGAAGAGTGTAAATCGAAGTACCAGTAACATACAAAGGAGTCCAGCTAAACAACACGCACCGAAGCCGTATAATCTCTGTGTCGAACAAGAAAACAGTGACGTTGTATAAGCTTTTAGGGTTCATCACAGATGATCGTGATTTATGGGAAATTTGCGAAATATTGGGGGAATTGGATAGAGTAATACCTGTGTGGGAGATAAAGAACAGAGACCTTCGGCTTCTTCCAACAGATTGTCTTGTGAGTCGTCATATTCTTCTTCCGCGAACAGAGATTGTGCCTGCTTCCACATTTTTCAGACCTGGATCATTTCATTAATGGCTGCTTTACTCCTAAAACAACTTTCCCAACTGTAATTAGAGGGCGTAATCGTAACTTTTGAAATATGAGGGGGTTGTATGTATATTACTGAATTACAAAAAGAGCAAACTATAGTTTCGGTCCTTGTGGTTTATATCCATCTACAATTTTGATCCAACTTTTGATATGAATAGCCCATATGGTATCCAAAGAATGCACGCACCATGCATCGTTAAATCTAACTATTTGGCTATTAAATATTTTAAAATGCCCATACCAAATCAGTAAAAACATAAAATGAAAGAACTGGTCGTGTAAAAACTCCAAACTCAAACCTAAGAACCCTAAAAGGTCGTCCCTACTATCATTTGAACCTGACGTCTTCATCACTGAAGCCACCACCACTTTCACCTCCATTATCGTTTCCCTCACCGTCGTCACATCCACGACCCAAAGGTTTGGTAGGGTTAGTTAAGTCTTGCTGGTTCGGTGGCCATTTATGTTAGGTTGCGAGTGTTGTTATTGGTTAGCGGATCGGAGGTAAGCCCGAGTGTTATTCGTAGTTAGCGGATCGGGGGTAAGCCCAAGTGTTTTTATTGTTAGCGGATCAGGGGTAAGCTCGAGTATTGTTATTGGTTAGTGGATTGGGACTAAGCCTAAGTGTTGTTATTGGTTAGGGGATCGGGGTTAAGCCTGAGTGTTGTTAGTGGTTAGCAAATCGGGGGTAAGCCCGAGTGTTGTCAGTGGATAGCAGAGTTGTTCGAGCTGAGTGAATACTTGGTCTAGTTTAGTATGTGATCGATTGTTTTTTTTAGTTTTGTCGGCATGTTTATGTAGGGTTAGCAATGACGACAGTCGGCCGTGGGTTTCATGCTTTATCTTTCTTATAGGGTGGTATCTAGCCGGGAAGATCTCGATTTGATCAAATCTATAAATTTTTGGTCAATATAGTTGATTTGGAGGTTAGTTAGCCTCATCTGCTAGGCTTTTCTAGAATTTTCGTTGGTGCGCCGGTATGCAAGGTTGTCGGCTATAGCATGGGTGGTGGTTTCTTTCTTTGGCTTTTCAATGGGCGGTCCAAGGTCAGGAGGTCTTGGTTGGGTCAGGTCTGCAATTATTGGGTAGTATGGGTGACAATTGGGATGGCTCGGTTTACCTGGAGGTTGTCTAAGACTTCGGAATCTTCAGGTTATGAATAAGGAAGTGGGTCCTTCTCGTCATGGTTTAAGGAGGTCTGCAATTATTGGGTAGTATGGGTGACAATTGGGATGGCTCGGTTTACCTGGAGGTTGTCTAAGACTTCGGAATCTTCAGGTTATGAATAAGGAAGTGGGTCCTTCTCGTCATGGTTTAAGGAGGTTGTGTGAAGATGTTTTCATTAGATTGCATGGTTTCACAAAATTTAAGGTTGGCAAAATTGTCGGGAGATGATCGACTGTTTAAAAGATGTTACAATAGAGGTGATTCAGAACTTGGAGTCTCTGCTTGGATTGGCTTGTGAGCCTGGGATGGAACCATTGTTGGCTATGGTTGCAAATGTTGGCATTCAAGTGATCTCAACCCGCATTGAGGAGTAGAGTTTGGAGAATCCACAAGGAATTTGAAGAGTGTGCGGAAGTGGAAGCGAGAACTGATTTCAAGGACAAAATTGAATTTAAGTGGAGGGCAATTGTAACACTGAGTTTCCAAATCGAATCAGTTTAGGGTATCAAGGAGTCAAATGCATGGTTTTAGGGTAAAATCGGGTGTCATGACGTGACAGGTTAAAATTGAAATGTGTATCCAAGGGGGCTTGTCACAACATGACAATAGAATGGTCACGTCGGGAGAGTGGTTGCAGCCCAAGCCCACGAATTTTAGGGTTCTCTTCATATTTAAGGATCTTATCTCATGACCTAGGGTATTCTCTTCGGCCTCCACTCATTTTAAATGAAACCCTAACCCTATTTATGAGTTCTTGAGCTTTTGGTGGTGACTTGGTGACCATTGAATTTTGACCAGTTTGACCCTAAGCCAATCTTGAAGGGTTTTGGACTGATAAATAAGAATCTACCATGTTTTGGTGCTAGTAAGTTCGTGGGATCTATCAGTGCATAAAGGGGGCGTGTCGTGGTGTTTTTGGGTTCTCCAATTTAAGTGAGTTTCCTCACTGTACCTGTGGGTCGAAGACACCAATGTCGTGTTGGATTAGTGTCTAAGTCCATAACTATTTTGGTATGTACTTGACCCGATGGTGCATGGTCCTTTTGGGTTGCCTTCACCAAAGCAACTTGATTGGAGAAATGAATAAAGAGAGAGAGGATAATATGATTTATTAATATGTTATAAGAATAATATATTAAAGGAGAAATCATATTTGTTTAATTAATATTGGTTAATAATTAATTAAGAATTAGTTTTGTGATCAAATGTAATTAATTAAACTAGAGGGGCTGATTTGTAATTATGTGATAGTTACAAAATAAGGTAAGGATTATCTTATATATATGGTGAACGAATTTGAGGTGTAAATCCCTTAGAATTCGAGTATGATAAGGATTCAAGGATTATCTTATTGGTTGCTTAATGGATAATCAACTAGATAAGGATAATGACTGAAACCCTATCTCTACACCTATATAAACACCCCTAGGGCCATGAATTCGTGTATCCCTTCCCAAGAGGTCCTAGATACGAATTCTAACCTCTCACTTTTCTCTTTATACCTTCTCCATTTGCTTATGGTGTTTGTGAGCCATTAGAGGAGTGACACTTGTGACTCTATGCATTCCAAAGTCAATACAAGGAGGAATTGGGATTGTTATTGCTACATAACAATCAAGGTAACACTATAAACTTATTCTCATGTTAATATGATTATATGTATGCTAGAATTAGGGTTTATAGTCTTGGATTCAAAGCATGTACAATAGAGAAACCTAGATCCAAGCATTAGGGTTTGTATGAGCACATAGGATGTCTTATGACCAAAACCCATCAGTGGTATCAGAGCCTTGATTGGTTTCTATTGTATTGATGCATATTTGATCATAATAAGCACTGAAAATCGATTTTTTTTTGAGTTTTGAAGGTTTGACTCGCCGAGTCACTTGGTGAACTCGCCGAGTCAGCTGGACTCGCCGAGTCACTTGGTGAACTCGCCGAGTCAGCTGGACTCGACGAGTCCAAGCCCAGACTCGACGAGTCAAAGTGTCTGACAGCTCGTTTTCGCGATTTTCTTCCTGTTTTGGTTTTGGATAATTACCATAAACTCGTTTTTGTGATAAAATCCGAATTTTTTCATTATTATGTGATTATCCTTACCTAAATAAAAGATAATTGTCAAAATTTAGATAATCACTTGTTTTATTAGATAAAGTTTGATTATTTGTAATTTAGATTTGAATTATCTTGTGAAATAGTTTCAATTTATCCCTTCAGGTTTTATAGTTTAAATTTGAACCCCAAAAGTTTTTTTGTTTTGAAATTTAAATAGTTAAAACCTTAATGTTTGAAATGTTTCAAAACTTGCCCTCAAGTTTTGGAATTTAAAAGTTGATTAAAAGGTTTAATTAGAAATGTTAAATTCTAAAACTCTAGTAATGTTTTGAAAAGTTCAAATCACACCCTTATGGTTTTATTAATTAATTAAGGAGTATAATTAAAAGAGGTTTAATAAATCCATAAAAGTTTAGGTTAACCATTTAATTGAATTAAAAGTATAATTGTTAAAGTTAACCATATAGTATTTTAAAAGTATAAAATACACTCTATACTATATATAACATTAAAAGTCTAACATTATATATATGTATGAGTAAAAGTTAGTCTTACCGTTAGTAGGCCTCATTCACGAAGCTGGTCTATAAGGGGTGTTTAAGGAAATTGCCTATAAAATGGCGATTGAATGGGTATCCACTCTTACCCACCGCACTCTTGACTAGTGGAGGGTCGTTAGCCGAACGGGTAGGATAGGACGAAACCTTCCATTATAAGTATAATGAAATACAAAGTAACTAAATGTTTTTCAAATTCCCAATCTTAGTTACTTAGGCAAAAGTGAATTGATGCAATTCCATGAAATTACACTTTGTGCCCTTGCGAAGACGTTAGTGGAGCGTGTGTGGTTTACCGGCACACTAAATGGTTCTAAGCAAAGGTAGCAAAGGGTGACTCAATGTTTGTCATAGTTCGTGGAGCGTGTGTGGGCACATCGAATAGGTGATTGTAACATGTGAGGGCACCATGTAGTTTGCATGGTTATTCACACCCGCTTTGTGATCCTCGGCATCCCAGTCACAAACAAGAGGGGCATATCGAGATTTAAACATGCCATTGAAATGTTCAATGAATCTCAAAGGATCTAGGAGTTTTCATAGATTTAAAACTTAAATTTCTTTTTCGTTTTCATGGTGGAAATAGTGAATCGTCATTCACTTACCTTCAAATATTCTGCAATTTGGGTTACGGCATCCCTCTCCCGAGTTGTAGGATATTGTGTTGGGTCCTAGCCTTGGAATTTCATTTGGGTGATTTACCAAGGACTCAATCAATCAACTAACTTGAATTCGTTTTTCTCCCGTGTCAAAGTTCGACAACTATGGTCTTTCAAATCCCGTGGAACAAGCATTCCACATGAAGATGATATTCCACGATTCGATCGAGGAACAAGAAATCATGCTTCACTTCCTCCTCCTCCTCCAATTATTCTCCCTAACCACAA